AAGTTCAAGCTTTCCAGCAGCCTCTGATGGCCACACCTGCCCCAGGGTCAAGGAGCAACCAGAGTTTAATGCCCTTTGGAACATAATTGCCAGCCTCCGGGTCCAAATAGCAACCAGACCGTGTCTAACACAGGATAATGATAATGTGGGACCAAAGTGCTACAAAGCCTGGACTTGTCCTTACAAGACGTACAGCTACACGGGATTTCTGCCCCGAGTGAGATTCGTGTCTGTAGAAGTGGGATGTTGAGTCCAGCCTGCCCTGTGGGGTGGAAGAGGGTCAAGTTCAGAGGAGGGAGCCTAAGCACAGATATACTGGGGAGGTATGATCAAGAGAAGCAGAGGGGAAGGCACAGCTGGAAGTCTAGCAGGATAAAAAGTCTCTTTCTGTTTGGGATGCAAATAGAAAGAAGCAGAAAGTGTTTCTGTTGAGCTGAACTCTGGGTTTTATGCACAGACAAGGTTTGGTGGGGAAAGGAGGTGTTTCAGCATCACCTTGGGGTCTGTGGCTGTTCTTGTGTGCTTCGTTGAGGAGTTCATTCTAGATACTGCTGATTAAATCTCTTCTTCTTTTTTTTTTTTTTTTTTTTTTAAATAAAAGAATGTGTTTTAAACAAAACATGTGCCAGAGACCTTGGCTTCCCCTCAATCTTCTTGAAGGCTTGAGTCTGTTAAAGCATCATCTGTATGTGCTGAAGATGCACTAAGACTTATGTTGCAGAGTTGCTCAGATTGCTGAGCAGATGGGCTCCAACATGTCTGATTTTTGCCAGCCCTGGCCGTGTTTTGACAACAGAGCCGTATTTTTGTGTTGTGGGATTTTTAGTGGCATAAACACTCCTGTTTTTTGCCACCAGTGCCTTAAAAAAAAAAAAGGAGAAGGTGCTTTTCACGCACTCTTCTGAAATGCAGTTCAAAGAAACGCAGCGCCTGAGGTGTCAGGAGCAGGGTCCTTGGGGAGAGAGCTGGATATTTAACTCAGCTGCCTGGTGAAGCCTACTGACCACTTATTTATTCCAGATGTTGAAACCAGGAGGTACCTGTGACAACCACCAGCTTTTATGGTCCTCTCAGATGTGGTTCCTGTCAGTCTGTAGCTGCAATCCTTGTTCCTTGATGCGATACATCTCGCTTTCCCTTCTCCAGGAGTGTATTCCCAGGAGTGTATTCCCAATCAACTCTGTCCCCTCTTTTTCAGGGCGAAGGCGTTGTGAAAGAAATCAACATCACCCACCATGTGAAGGAAGGCTCTGAGAAAGCTGATCCTTCGCAGTTTGAGCTCCTGAAGGTGCTGGGACAGGGCTCTTTCGGCAAGGTGAGTTCACTCCTTCCTATGTGTCATGTCAGATAAACGACTTTGATGACAAAAGGGACTGTCCCCAACAAAACCACTTCCCTGGTTCCCACCAGACACTGAGAATCTGACTGATGAGCCCACTTAGCAAATGGTTGCTTTTGACTTGAAAGGCAACCGTAGCGATGCCTTCTCCTCAGGGCCAGCCCGTGTGTCCAGAGCTCCCCTGTAATTCTTTTTTTAGATGATCAGGAGGAAGGGATCCTGCTTGTGAATGCAGGTGTTGCACAGGGCAGAGGGACCTCCCGCAGCTCTCTCGCTGGCTGCCAGGCTCTCAGTTGAATGGAGGACTTGGGCATGTTCCTCTCTTCTCAGAAATGATGCTGTGTGCATCTGGTTTTGGCCCCCTGTTTACGGTCCAGTTTCCCTTCTGTGAAGGGGGAAGGAAGTAGCCTGTAACTCTTATCTGTTTCAGTGTGTAAATAATCCAGGTCTCTTACAGACCATCTGCTCACCCCTTAAATCAACTCCACGTCAATCAGTTACCAGTGCTGACAGTGGGGGCTCGCACAGGACTCTGTGCTGTTGCCTGGGCAAATGCAGCAGTGGCTTTGTGCAAAAGAAAGGAGGTGTTTTTTTGAAGCTTCCTAAAACCAGGTAGTCTGGGACATCAGGAGAGGGAAGGAGGTAAAATCCAGAGAGGATGCAGGACCTGAATGGTAAGGAGTTGATCTGGCTTCAGCTCCAGGAAGAGGAAGCCAGGAAGAGGAGGCTTCAACCTCCAGGAGGTCAAGCCAGAGGGCTTCATGGTGCATTGAAGCATCAGTGCTTCAGGTCACAGCTCTCCCAGGCGTCAGGTGCAGCCCCACGGGAGCTGCAGGAGTGAGGAAGACTATGGGAGAGGAGGAAAGTGAGAGAGTGCTGCGATGGCTGGAGATATGGGGTGAGATAAGTCCGCAGACAGAGCTTTCCTGAAAACCTCATGGGGTTTCCCATGGAGAGCTTGAGGTACAACTTACCAGCCCTGTGGCCAGTTGCTTCTTAGGGTTACTGTGAGGTTTGCCACTTTGGGAGGCACCTGGCTCCTACTGCTCACATTCAGCACTGGGCTAACGTGGCACACTTCTGCCTCAGGTTTTCCTGGTGAGAAAAATAACCCCGCCAGACAGCAACCACCTCTATGCCATGAAAGTGCTCAAGAAGGCGACGTTGAAAGGTAGGAGCTTCTCACTGTGATACTCTTATCCACCATGTCCTAAAGAGCACTGGGGAAATGTCCCAGCAGTCACTGCTGGCCCCAGGATGGTCTGGGTGAAAGAGAAGTGTGTTTATCTCAGCCAAAAAACCTCCTTTTCTCTTCATCTATAAATAAACCCCTTGTTGCAGTGATGGAGGTGGGAGAAGATCTGGCTCGAGCTGCCTAGTGCTGGGGGATTAAGGCTGGGGACAAGGCTGACTCTGGGGTACTGTGTCTGAGCTGTTCCTCTCTCTTCCCACAGTGCGTGATCGAGTGAGGACGAAGATAGAAAGGGACATCTTGGCTGATGTAAACCATCCCTTTGTGGTGAAACTCCACTACGGTGAGTGTGGAGCTAGTTGGGACGCTGGGAGAGGGGCTGCAGCCCCAAACAGACACTGACTGCTTTTAAGCACAATAAAGAAAGATGCTGCTATAGGCAAGAGCAGGTAGATGAGCTGCTTTGAGGATGCTGAGAACCCCTCATGGTTCCTAACAGGCTTCTGGAGATACCTGAAATGGAGAAGAGGCCTGGATCAGTCCGTGTCCCTCAATGGTTGTGCTGCTCTGGAGCCTTCCCAATCCCCTTAACACAAATCCTTTCCTGGAAAGGCCTTTGGTCCCATGCCTGCTCTAGCTGGGGAACAGAGCATAGACCAGGAGAAGAGGTTTAAACATCAAATCCTTGGGATTAAAACGTTAAATCGGGAGAAACTGAGAAGGCAGAGTTAACTGGTCAAGCCAGAGTTTGGCAGGATTAATGCTGTGACTGGGGAAGGTGAGGACAGCTTCTTTCCCTGTAAAGTGACCAGTGTGTCTCTGAGGAAAACATCCCTTTCAGGAGGGCATCACTGGCTGAAAGGGAACCCACACCCCATAAAATGAGGGTTTTCTGCAGCACCAGAAATGAGCTCCCATTTCAAGATCCCGGCCAGGCTATCCCATTTACCCCAAATAATGCTCCCTACCTGTGTTTAACCTCGTAACCACGCAGGGCATCTGCACAACTGGAGCCATTGGGATTTAAGTGATTAATGTAACACCGTGGAGCTTTCCCTCAGCACAGGGCTCTGATTCCTGCTCCGGCTTGTGTTTCAGCATTCCAGACGGAGGGGAAGCTGTATCTCATCTTGGATTTCCTCAGAGGAGGTGACCTTTTCACTCGGCTTTCCAAAGAGGTGGGTATGCTCTGGCATCTTGGTGGGTTGCTGAGGCTCTCGGTTCATCTGGGCTTAATTGCCTGGAGAAGCGATTGACCCTTGTAAAGTCTTTGTGAGGGCTGGAAACAACCTCCAAGGTGGCAACAGGGTGGATGTCTCAGGAGCCCTGTCCTCTGGCAGAAAAGCAGCAGTGGAGGAGGCAGGTCTCACCTCTGCTGAGCATCACGTTAAGAATCTAAATGGTGGTGAGACACTGGAGCAGGTTCCCCATGGAAGTTGTGGCTGCCCCATCCCTGGAGGGGTTAAAGGGCAGGTTGGAGGGGGCTTGGAGCAACCTGGGCTGGTGGGAGGTGTCCCTGCCCAGGGCAGGGGGTTGGAACTGGATGATCTTTAAGGTCCCTTCCAACTCTAACCATTCTATGATTCTATGAAACCAGGTGGGAACAGTGTTCTGCTGCAGTGTTGGCTGGTTGTGTCGTGGTGCTGGGATGGGGCGAGGGAATGGGAGAGGTAACGAGAGGTTGTGCCAGGTGAAGACAACCGAGACCATAACCTGGTGAACATAAATGAAGAGTTTTTTAAAAACCTGTTTGCTGCTTAGCAACCCTACTTGTTTTTTTGGCGTTGCTGCTTAATTGATACTTTGGGATGGCAGGTAAAGCCTGGGAAGCTTGGGTGTGAAAAGGCAGGAGGGAGCAACACAGACGTGAAAGGTCTTGTGTGGGTGCAGCAGAGCTGGTCCCGCTGCCGGCGTTGTAACCCCAGCGCCTGTCCACTTCCTCTCCCTTCCCCCAGGTCATGTTCACTGAGGAGGACGTGAAGTTCTACCTAGCGGAGCTGGCTCTGGGGCTCGACCATTTGCACAGCCTGGGAATCATCTACAGGGATCTCAAACCAGAGAAGTACGTGCGGCGTCCCTTGGTCCCCGGCCTGTAGCCAGCAAAGGGCACAGCCTTCTTCCACCGAGGCAAAGCCAAATGGTGCCCTAAGGCCAGATGGAAGGTGGCAGTGCCAAGACTCCTGCTCCTCAGATGAGCAGTTAGGGCCAGGAGCTCTGGGGAGGCAGCGTGTGTGCACCACATGTCTGAGCAGTTAATCCTTGGCTCGTCTTCTGGCTCCAGCTTTAAGCAGTTGAGAGCCTTCAGAGGGAAAAGGCACCAGGCTGGGCATCTGCAGAGACACCACCAGCTGCAGGAGTTGGGTGTTCTTACCTGGGGATCAAAGGTGGTGTCACCTGTGTGGGTCATTCAGTCAATGAGAAGGTGAGGGCATAGAGAGAAGGGAGCTGCTCCTTGTCCCACTCATGTCTTGGTGATGGAGCTTTATGCACTTGGGGGAAGGGAGAGATCATTTTCTCTTCTGGATTCTGGGAGCATCTCAGACCAGCCTCTGCTGCGTGTGCGTCTTCTCACCAGCCCTTATTGCAGACAGTAACAACTTGGGTTTTTTCATTAATTCTGTAGCATCCTCCTGGATGAAGAAGGGCACATCAAACTCACAGGTAAGGGACTCCACAAAAGCCTCGTGCTCCAGCAAGCTTGGTTCTTGAAATACGGAGCTTCTCTTGGGCCTCTCTGCTCTGTGTGGTTGCTCAGAGCACACGGGTGCATCCTGACACGTTTTCTCTTACGTAGATTTTGGCTTGAGCAAGGAGGCTATAGACCATGAGAAGAAAGCCTATTCCTTCTGTGGGACGGTGGAGTATATGGCTCCAGAAGTCGTGAATCGCCAGGGCCATTCCCACAGTGCTGACTGGTGGTCCTACGGGGTGTTGATGGTACGTACCCAGCCAACAGGTTTGGGGACCTGGCTCAGCAGCTGCTCCAGAGGTGGCTCTGAAACACCCTGACATGATTCTGCACGTCTAGCAGATGTGCTGGCCTGGGGATGTTCTCCAAGCCCTTCAAAAGGGCTCTGCCACAGGCTGTCCAGGCATCCAGCCTGGTTTCTTGGGGGATATAAAACTCCTGAGGCTGTGGTCCCAGTGAGTGTGGGGTGTGCAGCATCCAGCATGGGGGTGTCTGTGTCCACCCCAGCGCTGGGACCTCGGTGTCTGTGCAGATCTGGTGCCACCATCTGGTGGTTCCTGAATCCGAGGGCTCCCACTGGAGCAGACACTGGCTCAAAGACATTCCCACCGCAGACCTTGTGAACCACGCTCCTTCTGAGAAAACACCACCATGTCTGGTGTGATCTTCTTCAGAGCTAGGTTTTTCATCCCTCACCAGCTTTGGCGAGCTCCCAGAAGAAGGTGCAGTGGGATCTGTGCAACCCTCAGACTTGCTCAGACGTGACCTCCTCTTCTTCTCTTTCCCTCCCAGTTTGAAATGCTCACCGGCTCGCTGCCCTTCCAGGGGAAGGACCGTAAGGAGACCATGACCCTCATCCTCAAGTAAGAGGAGTTTCTCTTTCGTTGTATGTACAGGAGAGGAGCTTCTGCTCTTTCTCTGAGGGTGTTGCAATTTGGGGGTTCTCGCAATTTAATGGCACTGTTTGGCAAGCGGTTTTGTGCCCACGGTGAGTCTGAAGGGTGCAGTGTAAATGCCAAACAGATGATTGTACTTTCGGGGGTGGAGGTGCTGTAGTCAGCTTGTGGGTTGACTTCTTTCAACCTGCAACGGATTGCTTAACTTCCTCTGCAGAGCGAAGCTGGGCATGCCGCAGTTCCTCAGCTCCGAAGCACAGAGCCTCCTGCGAGCCCTTTTCAAAAGGAATCCAGCCAACCGATTAGGTAAGGCAGTTATTATTCTATTTTTTTTTTTTTTTTTAGTTTCTGAGTACACCTGACACTGTCTTGGGGCCTCTCACATTCTCCTGGGTCAGCAGCGTGTTTGCACTTGTGCGCGGTTAATGGGCTCGTTAAATTACAGCCAGGTTCCCCGTAATACCTGGCTCTCTTGAATACAGGGCAGTTGCCTTCACTTTATTGGTGGTCCTGATTTAATGCAGCTCCATGGGTGTATCTGTCAGCCATCCTGATTTAATGCAGCTCCATGGGTGTATCTTCCAGGTTCTGGACCAGACGGGGCAGAAGAGATCAAGCGCCATCCTTTCTACTCCACCATCGACTGGAACGTGAGTGTCAGAAATACAAGAGCAAACTTTGACCCCCCTCAGCACCAGTAAAACCACTCCCTGACTGCAGTAATAGCACAGTTGTGATGCTTGACCAGCTATGAGAGAGCTACCAGTCCAAGCTTCCATCTCTTCCAGAAATGCTTCCCAAAACTCAAACTCTGTCTGTTGTGTGAATAACTGCTCCATCCCTGAGTTTGCTTCTGATCTCACCTGGGTTTGAATTTACTCATCTCTCAGCAGTGAGGGGCAGGTTTTAATTGGGGTTTGGCACAACACAGAGCGTCTTGCACAAAGTGGGAAGGACTCGGGGAAACATTTCTGGCAAGGAAATACTTTGTTTTGTGCAGAGAAGGAGGGTGATAACCGAACTGGCATTTCCCAATTGCTTCTGACCAACTCCCTGCTTTACCACATAATTTTGTTTTCCCTTACTTGGTGAGGGATTTTGAAGATCAGCCTTTCAGTGCCTTCCAGGCAGCCAGCAACCTGCCAGGCTGAACCTCGGGCAATGCCACTAAAGCCGATTGCCAATTTTTGCTTCAAGAAGCAATTTAAAAAGGCAACTTGTGGGAGTGCTGGGATATGAGCGTCCTCCTTAGGGCATCTCCTCTGGCTGTCCCTGGGGAGTTATGTGTCAGCAGAGCCCTAACGGGAGTTAGGAGGAGCTGGAGGAGCCTGGTGAGGTGAATCCTTTATGGATACTCTGCTTTTGGAGCAGGGCCAAGTCACGTGTAAAACATTTTTCTTTTCTTGATTTGTTATAAGGTAGAACTTGTAGAATTTCTCGGCAAACTGATTCAAAAGCACCCCACTGGCCAAGAAGCCTTCCCTCAGGCTGCCGAGCTGCAGCGAAACAGCTAAGCCACAGAGCTTGTTTCCAGTTTCACAAAAATCTCTGCGTGGCCTCTCATCCCTAGCAAGCCTTTGCGCCCTTGAGAGCGCTGACCTGTGGGATCACTTTCCAGCTGTCTTTGCTTTGCAGAAGCTGTACCGCCGGGAAATCAAGCCCCCCTTCAAGCCTGCAGTGGGCCAGCCAGATGACACCTTTTATTTTGACACAGAATTTACCTCGCGTACACCGAAAGGTTTGTATGAATTCACGCAAAGTCGAAGTTTGCCCTGTGAAATGACCCTGTACGGGTGACGTAGTGGTTTGCTGGTGCCAGCAGGGCAAGGTTTGCCTCCTGCTGCCATCTCCAGATGCTTCCAGTGCTGAGGAGGTGGCCCTGCCATAGGGATGCGGGGTGTTAGACATAACCTCGGTGCTGTGTGGTATAGCTCTTGTCTTGAGTAACCCAAAGAGGAGCCACAGCTTCTGGGGAGCACGGGGAAGGCTTCTGGTTCCACAGAGCCAGCCCTCTTCAAATTGTCTCTCTCAACTCCTCCTGCAGATTCCCCAGGCATCCCCCCAAGCGCGGGGGCCCATCAGCTCTTCCGAGGCTTCAGTTTTGTGGCGACAGGATTGATGGAGGATGGCAAGGTGAAACCCGCCCAGCCGCCTCTGCATTCGGTGGTGCAGGTAAAAAACGGGGACGGAGGAACAGCTAACTGTTTGGAGCCTCAGTAATTCTCCAGTGTGAGGCTGGGGGACCGTCTGGAACAGAGCTCAGAGGGGAAGCCTGAGGCAGCATCACTCTGTTTTGAAGTGTGCAGCTGCAGCCCAGAAGGCCAATCGCATCCTGGGCTGCATCAAAAGCTGCGTTGCCAGCAGGTCCAGAGAGGGGATTCTGCCACTTTGCTCTGCTCTGGTGAGACCTCACCTGGAGTATTGTGTGCAGGTCTGGAGCCCTCAATAGAAGAAGGACATGGACCTAATGGAGAGGGTCCAGAGGAGGGCCACAAGGATGATCAGGGGGATGGAGCACCTCTGCTACGAGGACAGGCTGAGGGAGCTGGGGTTGTTCAGCCTGAAGAAGAGGAGGCTCCGGGGAGACCTAATAGCAGCCTTCCAGTACCTGAAGGGAGCCTACAGGAAGGCTGGGGAGAGCCTGTTTAGAAAGGCCTGCAGTGACAGGACGAGGGGCAATGGCTTCAAGCTGGAGGGGAACAGATTTAGACTGGAGATGAGGAGAGGGTTCTTCACTGTGAGGGTGGTGGAGCACTGGAACAGGTTGCCCAGGGAGGTGGTTGAGGCCCCTTCCCTGGAGATATTCAAGGTGAGGCTCGACGAGGCCCTGGGCAACCTGGTCTAGTTGGGGGTGTCCCTGCTGACTGCGGGGGGGTCGGACTAGATGGCCTTTGGAGGTCCCTTCTGGCCTGGGCAATTCTATGATTCTATGATTCTTCCATCCTATTCTTTCCTTTCTGTTGGCTGTCCTGTGCACAGGTCGGCAGGGCAACATGAGTCTCTTTGCTTTCCTCTCCTTGGGTGGACCCACACTAGAAGGAGGGCTGTGGGTTGGTAGGTGCCACCACAACACACCGTGCTAAATGCAGACAGCGTTAGCCCACTGACCTACATCTGCCTTGTTCTCTTCTCCTGCCTCTCCCCAGCCGGGAGGAGAACTGTGGGATGGAGCCGACAGCCGTCTGTCAGCTCGCCCCGTGTTGCAGTTATAACTCATCACGTTGCAGGAACCCTTCCCTGAACCCTCCCAGCTCATCAGCTCTCCCCTCTCCTCTCGCAGCAGCTGCACGGCAAGAATCTCCAGCTCAACGACGGCTACGTGGTGAAGGACACGATCGGCGTCGGCTCCTACTCGGTGTGCAAACGCTGCATCCATAAAGCAACCAACATGGAGTACGCAGTCAAGGTCTGAGACTTACCATCTGAACTGAATTCCCCTGGTAGACTTCTCTTCATCCCCGCGATGACCAAAATAACATCCAGGAATGAAATCGCTTTCCCTGCTTGCATAGGGCCCAAGGGGACAATTTCTGTGCTGCCGTGCATGTAACTGCACAAGCTTCCTTATGTAGGGCTAGTGGGGAAGAAGTGTTTTCCTTTCTTAGAGAGAGGACAATATCTTACCTTTCTCTGCAAAGCTTGCTGGGGCTGTGTCAGCTCTTAACAAAATTGGAGCACCTCTCCTATGAAGACAGGCTGAGGGAGCTGGGATTGTTCAGCCTGGAGAAGAGAAGGCTCCGGGGAGACCTTATAGCGGCCTTTCAATACCTGAAGGGTGCCTATAGAAGAGCTGGGGAGGGACTCTTTGCCAGGAGGTGTAATGATAGGACAAGGGGAAATGGTTTTAAATTGGAAGAAAAAAGATTCAGATTAGATCTCAGGAAGAAATTTTTTACTATGAGGGTGGTGAGACACTGGAACAGGTTGCCCAGGGAAGTTGTGGATGCCCCATCCCTGGAAGTGTTCAAGGCCAGGCTGGATGTGGCCTTGAGCAACCTGCTCTAGTGGGAGGTGTCCCTGCCCAGGGCAGGGGGGTTGGAACTCGATGATCTTTGAGGTCCCTTCCAACCCTAACCATTCTAGGATTCTATGCCAGACACAAAACTTTGGAGCTTATTGTTAAGGAGGCCAGGGAACAGGGAATGGATATGGACACAAAACTTTGGAGTTTGGGGCCACAGAACTGATGAAGGAACTAGGACCTTTTTGCTAAGGAGGCCAGGGAACAGGGAATGGATATGGTGGAGGATCTCTGCAGGGTTCCAAACGCTCGTTTGCTTTGTCCCGGCTCCATTCCCACCCCCTTTTTGGCTAATGCTTGTCCATACTCTTCCAGATTATTGACAAGAGCAAGCGAGACCCTTCTGAGGAGATAGAAATCCTCCTGCGATACGGGCAGCATCCAAACATCATCACTTTGAAAGATGTGAGTGGGACTTGAATGACTTCTCCCTGTATTTTGGTTTAGGAAGGGCAGAACTGGTTTGTGGGGGGAGCAATGCAGCTCCAGCACGGGCAACCCAATGCCCTGCTCCAGGTATTGCTCTGGGGTGAGGAAGCATCCCTGGACCCCCCTGCATTGCTGATTTCTGTCTGCTGCTCAGTGGTAGAAGAACAGAAGGGAAGCTCTGGAAGCACTTTTTGATTTATCCCTCCGTGTTTGCTTTGGTAGGTGTACGATGATGGGAAGTACGTGTACCTGGTGACGGAGCTGATGAGGGGAGGGGAGCTGCTGGATAAAATCCTCAAACAGAAATTTTTCTCGGAGAGGGAAGCCAGTTTGGTCCTGCACACGATCTGTAAAACGGTGGAGTATCTGCATTCCCAAGGGGTGAGTAGAATCATAGAATCATAGAATGGTCTAGGTTGGAAGAGACTCTTGGGATCATCGAGTCCAACCATCTCCCCTACTCTACAAAGTCCTCCCCTACACCATGTCCCTCAGTACCCCATCTAAACGGCCCTTAAACACAGCCAGGGATGGGGACTCCACCCCCTCCCTGGGCAGCCTGTTCCAAAGCCCGACCACTCTTTCTGTGAAAAATTCTTTCCTAATGTTCAATCTAAACCCACCCTGTTGGAGCTTGAAGCCATTCCCTCTCGTTCTGTCACTAATTACCTGTGAGAAGAGACCAGCACCAACCTCTCTACAGTGTCCTTTCACGAAGTTGTAGAGAGTGATGAGGTCTCCCCTCAGCCTCCTCTTCCTCACACTAAACAGCCCCAACTCCCTCAGCCGCTCCTCATACGATTTGTTTTCCAGCCCCCTCACCAGCTTCGTTGCCCTCCTCTGCCCTCGCTCCAGCACCTCCAGATCTCTCTTGTGTTGAGTAGGGTGACATCTCTTTTCCTGGGAAGCTGCCTGACATTGCACTGTGCTCCCTCTCCTCCGGGCAGCAACTGTGCCTGGCAGGACTATTATTTCTTGCTGGTGTTGCTGTCTTGGCCAACCAGATGTGGGGCCAGAGCAGGGGTTGAGTGTCCTGATGCAGCTTCAGACCTTTGCCTTCCAGAGGCAGGAGAATGACACTTTCTTTGCTCCACAGGTGGTTCACAGGGACTTGAAACCCAGCAATATCCTCTACGTGGATGAGTCAGGAAACCCCGAAAGCATTCGCATTTGTGACTTTGGCTTTGCCAAGCAGTTGAGGGCTGAGAACGGCCTTCTCATGACTCCCTGTTACACGGCAAACTTTGTGGCACCCGAGGTAAGGACCACACTGCCCTGAGACCCTTTGGTAGCTCTCACATCCCTCCCCCAGACTGTGCTCCCATTCAGCACGGGTAGGTCTGTCCCGTTCCTGCTTCCAGCCTGGTGTATTCTGTCCTGGAGTAGGTAATTACAGAAATACGACTTGTGGTAATGAACACCCAGGGGATCCCACGTGCAGTCCTCCAACTCGTACTGCCCTGATGGGGGGCTCTGCTTAGGGTACCGAGACTTGAAAATCCCATTTAAAATCCCATGATTTTTCTAGGCTGCTCCTCTTCCTGATTAACTGACCTGATAAAAGAGGTTGGGATGAATTTCCACTCGGTTGTCGTGGTGCAGAATAGAGAAAAGGAGCAGGCAGGCAGTGGAACACGTGAGCAGTGTCACTGCACTGGAACACGGCTCCTTTCTCACTTGTGGTTTTGATGTGCCTGGGGGGGGGGGTTCCTCTGTTCCACGAAACCAAAATCTGATTTGAATCCTGATCTTTAGTCGCAGTGGGGCTCTAGGAGCTTCGCATACAGACTGCACGCTCTTCAAGAGCTGAAGTGAGCTCAAGTGACAGGAACCAAACACGGTTGTGTGGGTTTTTTTTCCCTTTGCATTTCTATTCAGGTACTAAAACGCCAAGGCTACGACGAGGGCTGTGACATCTGGAGCCTGGGAGTTCTCATGTACACGATGCTCGCAGGGTAAGCACCTCTGTGTCTCACTGGAAGGAAGCAGCTGGGACTGTGACCACCTTGGTCTCCAGTGGTGGCAGTTGGACCCCTTTTCGTCGGTCACTGCTCCCTGGCCAGGTTACAGGACAGTAAATTAAATGCTGTCTCTTCCATCCTCAGCTCCACTCCATTTGCAAATGGTCCCGGTGACACTCCAGAAGAGATCCTGACCCGGATAGGCACAGGGAAGTTCTCCATCACTGGAGGCAACTGGGACACTATTTCTGACATGGCCAAGGTATGGTTTGATATTCATCTGTGTTAAGTTAAAGGGGTGGAGCCCGGCCAGTCGCTGTGAGGCAAATTTAAGGCAGGTTGGGGAGGGAGGGCAGAAGAGAGAGGAGAAAACCAGCAGTGTAGCTTCTACCCCATGCACGTCTCCTCCATAAGCTTTCTTGTCCCCACTTTGTTGTAGCTCTGGCTGTGAATATTTGTGTCCAAGACCAACCTCGTGCTCGACCCACACGGGGTTTGGTGCTGTTACACCTCCCAGGCCCACCGAAAACATAGTTTGTACAAAAGGAAGCTGATGTCTGGGGGCTTTAAACTTGGCCTCTGAATTTAAATCCCAATTTAGGGATGGACAGGTGGTATTTTTTAATTTAAAGTATAAAATCTTCTAAAGTCTAACTTTCCAAATGATGCCCTTAGGATCTGGTAACAAAGACGCTTCACGTAGATCCTCACCAGCGTCTGACAGCCAAGCAGGTCCTGCAGCATCCATGGATCACCCAGAAGGACAGCTTACCCCAGAGCCAGCTGAATCACCAGGACGTTCAGCTTGTCAAGGTACAAAGTCTGGGCTGGTTCCTCGGGTACTTTGGGCTCTGGAAAGCAGCGGTCCATGGGGGTGATGGTGGTGTGGGCAAAGCAGGATGGAAGGTTGGAGATTGTGGGCAGAAGAAGAGGATTGTGAAGGAGAGGCAATACAAGACAAGCTATTTTTTTTTTTGGTAGGAAAACCTAGGGAGGTTCTTTAATGGCATGTCAGGATGGGAGGGAGAAAAAAGATGCTTCTGGCTTTGTTTGTGGGTCTGGCTACTCTGGTCCCTCATCTTATAAAGCTGTGAGTCTGAAATATCTCTTCTACATCAAAATGACTTCTCGTGCCTTCTCTCCAAGGGGGCGATGGCTGCCACGTACTCTGCACTGAACAGCTCCAAGCCAAGTCCCCAGCTGAAGCCCATCGAATCCTCCATTCTGGCACAGAGGCGGGTGAAGAAACTTCCTTCCACCACACTGTGAAGCTGGGGGGGTCTGTGGCCCCTCGGCACGGTGCAGGGACACCAGGCTTGGAATACCTACTGAAGACAAGGGGGGGCAGGAGATGGGGCAGTCAATGCCTGCATAGGAGCTCCCTTGAGGACTTCTTCTCAAAAGGCCAAGTGCCTTTCTGTTTCTGAAAGACTGGCTCCTCCTTGTGTGGACTGATCTTTGCCCAGAAGAACTTCACTGTAAAACTTTTTTTGAAGTGTAAATTGTCAATTTTTAAAGACATCCATCTGTGTATATGAGAACTAGAATGTATAACTGATGTCCAGTGGCACTAAAAAGCAGCTCTGATTCACCCTTTCCTGTGTAGGGCCAGATATTTGTTGTAGCTACATCATTTCTTGGAATTGATCTTCTCCAACACCATTGCAGCCGGAAGAGTTGAGTTTTTAGGCCTTGGGGTTTTTCCTCCCTTCAACCTTTGGATGCTCTTCCCAAAGTCAGCCCTGCAGACTCCTAGCCAGCCACACTCCTGTTTGGAAAGGATTTCCCTCCCCTGCACTTCTTGTGCGTGTGCGTTCAGAGTGTAAGGTCGATTTCTTCAGACTCCATTTCTTCCTCCCTCCTGCCCTCCCCCAGCCCAGACGACAGTTCTCTGAACAAAATAAACCACGGGTTTTCCAAACACCCCCTGAGATGCTCAGCTCTCCAGAATACAGGCCAGGTTTGGCTCATTCCTTTCCTCTGCCCTCCCATCTTTGTGTTCTCCCCATCGATCCCTGGGGAGTCTGTCACCCACACAGGTGGAGATGACAAAGGAACCTTCTCCTCGGCAAAGCTGAGGCCTCGGGCTGGCTCTGGCTGCTGCTTTTAACATTTTTGGGTTTCCTTCCCTTCAGCAGGAACCTATGAAACAAACTATCCCTTTTTTTTTTTTTTTTTTTAATTTAACTTTGTTCTACAGCTGGTAACTCAGGGTTTCTTTCTGAATTGTACAATAAACGTGTCATTCAGTTGATGGTTTTTTTACTGACTGACTTTGAGCTGCAGAATAAGCGACCCTGGTCATTTCCCCACGTGGGACGGGGATGAGGATTCTTGCCTGCCTTTTGGGAGGTCTGCAAAGCTTTTTCCTCTGGCCCTGTGATGGAAAAACCAGCGGTGCTGTAGTAGGGCTGCATCTTATGCCACCTTCTCTCAGGTGCAATTCCTCAATTTGTAGTGGGAAGGAATTACAACCAGTTACGGAGTAAATCCATCATCAACAGGAAAGGAGGCAGGACACGGGCTGCAGAGGGGAACTTACTCTCAGGACATTTTAGCGCTAATAGAAACCAACACCGAGAGGCAAACTGTGCTAGAAATGAATTCCCCACCCAATTCTGACTTGAAGGGAGTTGCTGGAGCTCCCTGGTTTGGTGGTGGCTGTTTCTTGGGAGGAGCAGGAGAGCTACGGGGACCTCGAATGCTCGCGTGCTCCAGGACGCGACTGAAACCAGCAAAGGTTCTCATGTGAATTTCTGCTATTTTGGCTGATCATATAACGAGAGGGGGAGCTTTCTCTTGCTTTTCCCTTTTGCTCAACAGTCCCAGTTGGCTCTAAAATGGATAATTCCTTTTCTCAGAGATGTTCTAGCTCTCTCCTCCTCCACCCTCATCCAGGCAGGTCCTGTTTTACTCCCCGGAGCAGCCAGAGAGAAGCTGAAATAGTCATGATTTTTTAATATATTTATTCCAAGTACTGCCCTAGTGTCCAGTGCCACTGAGAGGAGGAGGCCAGTGCACACGGGATCTTCTCACTGGTTTTGCAGAGCTGGATTTACTGTTTTGCTGAGAGCTGGGGAAGGGACACTCCACCACCCAAAATGCCTTCCTTAAAAATACTTGCTTTCTCCTCTGGCACAAGGTTTGCCTTGGTGCCACTCAACCTGCCTTATGTTTCCTACAACTGTGCAGTAACTCTCACGCTGGTGAAAAGGTGTGTGAATTTTAGGTACCTGAAACAACTACAATAATTATAAACAGCTTATTTCGGGAGCTGGGGTTAGTCCCAATGGGCACTGTTGGGACTGAAGTAGGTTCCTCAACAGTTTTTCAGAATGTTTCCTCTGTTGGACTTCACGGGTGAGGTCTGAAATGGTGGATGGGGCTGGAGGTGTTGGTGGTGACCACCACTCACTGTGAGCCTCACAACAGCATGGGATGGGTCTTAAAGCAAACATCCATCCTGCTTGGGTGGCAGGTGGCTTGTCTATATGGAATTGTAAATGTTTTCAAATATCAGTCAGGAAAAACATTACAATCTTAGCTTAATCCTCCCTGTAATGCTGCTGGTGTGAAACCAACTAGAGGCAACTCCCGAGGCGTGTAGGACAACCAGGGGCAGAGCTTGGTGGGCACAGGGAGAGCAGCCCATGGTTGCTGCAGGCTCTGCCTGGCTGTGAGATGATACCCGAGGCATGAAACCCCCCCAGCCTCGCTGGGGGCTTCAGAGGAACTTTGGTGCAGCTGTAGCTTCTGGGATCTCCATGACTTCGGAGACCAGAGCGAACAAGAAGGGCTGCACCTCGCTTTCTGGGGTGCTTTTAACCAAGTTGTTATGAGTGATCCTTCCATAAGTAAGAATAAGTCTTGATTTTTAGTTCCAAATCAACCAAGTGCTGTTACTTTTTTAATTCCAGTGCTCAATAAAAATGGACTTGTTGATCTTTCTGTGTATGAGAACTGTAGGTGTTTGTATCGGGTCGGGTGGGCCCCCTCCTTCCCTTTCTGGTTTTGTCCCGACAATGTTAAGCCTTTGCCAAAATACAGTTGGGACCAACTTAACTGAAATTGCATTATTTGAGGTGAAAGTTGGGCCTGTGGCAGGCTGGGTCTCTACTGCCTGTTGGGGGGAGCCAGTGGGTGTCTCAGAGAAGACCAAATGATCTGCTCTCACCAGAGTTTGAGGTCATTCAGCTTTAATGTGGGACAAAGGATAGACAGTTTACCTTTGTCTTGATTTGAAAAGGGACAAAAACTTATTTAACATTCATACATAAGGAAATCCTTACAAGGAAAACTGCTTGTGTTATTTCAGGTGTTTAATAGTCAACTTGACCTTTAAGTTTTTTGTCCTGTACGTCCATACGAAAGCTCAAGGGAGCAGAAATCCCGGAATCCAGCCTCGAACAGCTGAGTCTACCTGGAATTAACCTGTGTGGAAATAGCATGTTAATCTGTAGACAAGGAACCTGAAAATAATATTGAACCACTCTATATAATACAGCTTCTGTATAAGAAAGGTTAAACTTTCCCCTTTTGGGGCGTAAATCAGCAACTTTTCTGTTGCAAAAGAGTTTGACCCAGCTGAGAGGCCGTTTTCCTTCTTCCCACTGTGTGAAGGAGTCGTGCCTTCCTCTTAATGATGTGGTACTGACCCCTGTCAAATTAACTGCAGCATAAATAAATGTATTTTGGCCTGATAAATATTCCCAGCATGATTATTTAGGCTGTATTTAAAACTGAAGGCTGGTAACTCTCAGAAATCATGTCTTTTTCTTTTTTTTTCTTAGGAAAACTTCACCGAGTAACCGATCTGCTTTTTAAGTTTCCATCCAATGAATGTCGATACCCTTTTCAAACCCCCACCGTCGCGTTAGGGCACCGAATTCTTTTTCCTCCATCTTTAGGCATTTGTGGACAGTGAATTGTGCAGCCAGTGGCCTCCTGGATGCCACCACCTCCTCGTGGCAGCCACCGCCGCCTTCCCAAGAAGAGGGGAGGCTTCGGAAACCCTCGGTGACCGCGAGCGTGTTCGACGGTACGCGGGGCGGCTGCTGGGCTTTCATGTAATATTCAACAATTTAATCCCTCTTTTAACGCAAAGAAAACATTTAAAATATTTCAAGGCCTTCTTTTGCCAGTACATAGGGGGCTGTGAATAAAACCTTCATTCACGCTATGAAGGCTGGAGGTCCGCTGCCACTCCATTTTCTTGCCTCTGGTTATTAAAACATCAAGCTGTCTTACTACTTAAGCTGAGCTAACTTGCTGCCTTCCTCCCTTTGTGTTCCACTGGAACACCTGCCATTAATACTAATTCCGCTCGGGAGAGAAACTCCCTTTCAGATATGCTTGTCTGAAAATAAATTGACATGTAAAAGGTCCCTTTTGTCGCCAAGTGCATGTAAAGTGCTGGGGTGAGAAGCCGATCGCTTTTCAAAGGGAGCCCCTGACTCTTTAAATGCTGTGTGTGGAAGGGGGGGGGTTCTAAATGTGAGACACGGAGGGTGATGCTGTAAATGGGCTGCCGTGGTACGACCAGAGAAGGATTGCAGAGCTGCAGCCTCTGCTCCTTGGTAGGCTTTTAAAATTGTGGGGTGATTTTCGTCTAAACCTGCAGCAATAAAATCTGCAGAGGGAATGGCTAGGCTCCGTAGGGCCTGTCTGGAGAAAACACCTTTTTTTTTGAAAAAAAAGTGTTGTTATTAAGAATGCCTCTTTGCTTTTTAACACATACAACAAAAACTGGTGGCAAGTCCTTTGATTTAGGCGTGTAATGAACTCTGGGGCTCTGTTGTTTTTCCTGGGACAAAAGTTTTGTCTCACTTCCAATTAGGAAGCAGTGAAAGAATCCTTGGTTGGAGTATTTACCCTGTCATACAGGCAGCAGTGTATGACAGCAAAAGGTAACTATTTTATTTTTTTTAATGGAAAGATTGATTTTCTTTGATTCCATGTACCCTGTGGAGTCTATGGCTCTCTCCTAAGAAAGTTTTTTTATTTTTTAAACTTTTTATAAAGTGTTTTTAGGGCCAGGCTTTGGGGTGGAGTGACACTGCTTCAAAATCTGCTTCAGTGCTGAGAGGCTGATGTCTCAGGACTGTGGATGAAGGTTTAAGTTCTGTGGCGTGGCCCTGGCTTTCAGCTGCTGCTCGTTGGGTTTGTGGGTCTGCTAGCAAAGAAATCATTCACTTCATAATTAAGATCAAGCCGAAATATGTTCAGCGCTTAAAAGAAGTGAAATGTGCCAATTGCATAAACCTCCTAGATGAGCGGGTGTCACTTCTGGTTTATCAAACAAGCACAGACTCTCGTGTGCTGCTTAGCTCAAATGCTGTCTTATTTTTAAACAGCAGATGGTGTTAGAAACCTGTAGCAGGTGGATCCTCTTCAGTTTTATGTGAGAGATCAGAAGTAGCAGCAATTTCTCGTTTCCCTTGGGGTAGTTTCTTCACGAGATGAGCAGCAAGCTGGCCCTCTGCTCAGATATTTATTGCAGCAGGGAAAACTTTTGAATCACACACGTTAATATGAAAGAAAGCAATTCTGCTTTGACTTATTCCGGTTCTAATAAAAGGAACCTGGTAATGTTCTCCATAATCCTCTGTTAGCAACTCCGAGAGAGAGATGTAGTGGGAGAAATGAGCTGTGTTTTGCGGCTGTGCCTCAAAAATCCAGCTCCAATCTGCCATAGTCTGTTGGTTTCTTGTCTACGATAATAGCACTTTGCATGCTTAAAGTGTTTTATAAACATTTAATTACCGCAGCGTTTGACTCGAAGCCAGGAATCTCTCATTCATCTGCGTCTTGCAAGGTTTGTGAAAATGATATTCAAATGACAAGAATTACAAGAAGGGCTGAGTTCAGACTTCACTTAAGGAAATCTCCGTTAGCTGGGATCCATGAGCATCTCTGGGATCCATGAGCATCACTGGGATCCATGAGATCTCTGCTCTCCCCTCCCGTGTTCCCAAAGCGACTCCTTCAGCAGCGGAAACGGTGACAGGGTTTTGAATCCCTCTAGATGCCAGGATTTGTCAGTACCCCAGGACAGGGAGCTGCATTTTAATCATATCAGGGAAAGGATATGCTAAATTCTCCTCATCCCCTGCTGCAGGAACTTCTAAGGCAGGCGGGGATCACAGCTCTGTCTAGACCAGAGCCGTGTTTGATCCCCAGTCCCCGCCGTGTCCTCTGCTGCTGTAAGCAGTAGGAAAATCATTATTTGTTAAAAGTCACTTTTTTTCCCCACCCACCAAACTACTTGTAATTTTAATGTGTCTTCTCCACCCAAACTCCCAGCTCTATTTTTTTTAAAAAGGTAGAGAAATTACGGCTTGGCTTTGCTACCACTCAGCTCGGTGTCAGCCCAGGGGGAAGCCCCCAGTAGCGCTGGGGTTTGTAGAAGGAGCAAATGAAGGTAAAAAAAAAGCTTGTATGGGATTAATAATTTCTATCCAACCATCTGCCTCTTTTCACCAGCTCCCTTTTCTGTACAGCAGGTTGTTAAATGCAGCCTGGGCGTGCAGTGACAGGAATCGTTTATTTCCTGTGAAATAGAAGAGTTGTGGGCTGGTTGTGTGTGTGTTTTTTGGTGGATGGACACAAAGGGTCACACCTGGTGAGGGCAGGAAACCCAGGTGAGAGGTTGTTCCTCTAAAAGACACCTCTCAGCTGACCCTGATCTCGCTGGCTCGAGGGTTATCCTAAAGGATCGAGGTCTGTGACTGCTAACGTAGCCAGTCCTCGCTGTAATTCTGGAGGCATATCGCGAGCCCCCCGTTAATAAATGCCATTGCTGGCAATTAGAGCCTTTTTAATGAGACAGATCCCCAACTTCAAGGCCCCAGATGAGCTGCTGCTACGCTCGCTCTCTGTTCAGCGAGTTGGGAGCTCGTGATGAGCAGCCACTCGCCAAGTAAAACCGGAGTCCCTTTGCCTGGGCTGTTTAAAGAAGGGGTAGGGAGCGCTTCTGATGTTTCATTAAAGCTGGCTTTTCTCCTTGTGGCAGAGCAGATTTAATCAGACCCGCCTCCTAGTTCCAGCTGCTGGGTTTGAAGGCTCTGATCTGTGCACTGGGTGCACGTCTAATTATGGAGGCAATTCCCATGGATACCAAGAAGAATTGTCTGTACTGGCAAAAATGATCCCAGCTGGGAAAACGGTGAAGGAAAATGTGTTGAAATATTCCGGAAAAGACTTCAAAAGTTTCTGGAAATGTGAGTGAAAAACATTTCGAGTGTTCTTGCACCCCAGTGTGCAAATCTTCACTGTTTTAAAAATAAGATACAGGTTGTTTTAATTTTGGTTTGTAAGAGCTAATCCAGAGTTGCTGCTTTTTGTGCTACTGGGGGATTTACCAGCACAGCAAAACTGAATTTCACACACACACTTGTTACCGAAAACCACTGCTTTTTCACCCCTGGTTTTGTACCCCACAAGGTTCCCTCCGCTCACCTGCAGATGGGTGTTTGGAGAAAAAGGCCAAGAGTTTGTGTCTCCATCAAGGCACCTCCCTGGGAGAGGCAGCTGGATCTCCTGGGGAGTCACCCACCCAAGGGCTGGTAATTCTGGTTCCAGCCGCGGTGCCGGCGGATGGGACTTCGGTAAGTTCCTCCCCTTTTCTGCCTCCTTCTTCTGAAACATATGAATTTAAATAACTTATTTCTGTATAAATTAATATCTGAAGGGTCTGTTCAAGGAAAAAAAAGAGCGCTCCCTGGTTAAAAGGAGAGGGGGAAATACCTAGTCGTGCACTGCTCAGAAGTGGAAAATTAAACAAATATGATTTAAAATTATTTTGGAATTGTTCAGCTGCGAGGCCTTCTGTTCAAACTGCATGAGGAAAAACAGATTTTTTTACTTAATTGCACAAATAAAAAAGTCATTTTGAGGGTTTTGGGGTTTGGTTGTTGTTTTTTGGTTTTTTTTTTTTTTGCTTTGGGTTTGTTTGG